CCGGGTTGAAAACAGCCCAAGGGGGATCGCTGGATCTCCCTGGATCTTACTAGACCTCCCTGGAACACACCTGCATGCCAAGCCAGCCATCCTATGACACAAATGCAATCCTGCTTGATTTTGGTGTTCATTTCCTATGAGTTATTCACTTCTGATCTAGCTTTAGCAGTAGAGAACAAACAATCATGGTAAAACGGTACTACATCTAGTACAAAAGCCAATTAAGTCTTAATACACTCACTCTAAATTTCCTCTTCTGTTTTGGGGAGTGTACAGGCAGCCTTTAATATGGCTTTGCTACCACCCTGCCTGGCAGCAGCCAGTATGTGACTCCTGTCAAGCGCAGGAGTGAGCTGTGTGATTCAATGTCGTGCTTGATATCAAACATGCTACTAAAAAAAACAACCATGATATGTCAGCAGTAAGCAAAAAAGCTAAAAAAGAAAATCTGAATTCTGTTCGTTAGATAGCCCCCAATGGCTCTGCTCTCTGTACATCTAAGGAGCTACGATGCCTTACAAAAAGGTGATTTAAGCGGCACTGTGGAGCCAGAGCCTAGAAACTTAGCACATGTAAAGCTTGGCTGGACGCTGCTTTTAGCAGCCTTTGACTAGCTAGTAAGGAGACCTTGAGATTTGTCCAAAGACAAATATTTATCCTTTTCTAGGTTTCCTTTTAGGGGATACATTTGGGCAAATACAGATACAAATGCAACTACAAATAATATAAAACAATTGAATCATTTTTTGCAGATTTTCAACCTCTTCATAGCGAGAACAAAATGAGACATCAATACATTTTGTAATTACTCCGTCTGAAAATGTTCATTCTATCTCTATATATGAAATCACTGTGAAATGCATCTGTGCTGCAAAAAGAATAATATCTGAAGAGACCAGAACTACCCCCTGAGGCTGGAGCCTGTTTTTGCAGCACAGTTCTCCTAATGTTGTTAGACACATCCTTGACCAGCCTGTAGTATCTTCTGACTTTGGGTGCTGTTTTCCTTCCCTGGACACAAGCACTGCTCAAAAACTCTGGCCAGTGACAAAAAGCACTTTACAGACAACACTTGGAAAGAGATTTTTTTTGAAGCCTCATCCAATTCTTTTGAGAAAAATGCAATATAGACTATTTCAGACCCGCTTTATCTCCTGGTTAGGCAGAATCTACTACAAAACTCTGAAACTCAGTTCTTTCAGAAGCTATTGTTTTTAATCAAAAAAAACCCAAATTCTTTGTAAATTCTTTCATTCTGTTTATCTCTTACAACCATAAAAGTAGCAACTCCACAGTCATGTGTTCTACATGTACACTTAATGCACCAGTGTCTTTGCTGATATCCTGCTTCTTTGCAAAATTTCATCATTACTTTGTTCATATGAATCTTTTTCTTTCTGTTCAAACTGGATTGGAAGATACATTTCTACTGCACTCTGATGATTCTCACTGAAATGTGTGATGAAAAATTTCAGAGCTGTGTTCTTATTTACTTCAGTATCTAAAAATTCTGCTGTAATGTGAAGGTACCAAATCACTTCCAAAAAATGTATTTTTTCCAGAAGAGGTTAAAATCTCTCCCCTTCACCAGTGATCTAACAGAGAGATGTCTGGCTTCCAGGCCCTCTTTGTGAAATTTTCAGCTCTGTTGTGTGCAGATACCCAAGAAACTTCTCTTGGAGGCATCATCAAAATGCTAAAAAGATACAGTTTATTTCATTCCACTCATCAGGTACTGCCTGAACTAGAAAGAACACAAAAACATCCTTTTCCAAATGACACAGTCATCCTGTTCCTAGCTTGCTATTGACTCTACCCAAAATGAAACCATTAACTTCTAATTTATTTATTCAGTCAAGCCTGGAGTTAATCTGCTTAGTAAGAAAAAAAGAAGACAAATAAACAAAACCTATATTTTCCAAGACAAAGAATTCAGCATGCAGCACTGTTTCAAACAATCCAGACTACATATGACAACCACACTAATGAGTTATGACTGACATTTTTTGAGTGTGTCAGGAATGAACTCTGTAAGACCGTATGCCCCATAAACTAAGCACCCTCTGCAGATTAATAGATTTTAAGGGTAAAAATTATTATTAGATCCCCTAGTTTGCTCTCTGCTATCTTTCCAACCAGAGAATTTCCAGCAATTATTTCTGTATATTTTATAAGATGCAGGAGGAGCAAATAACTTCTATACCATTAGAGCAAATCTCCCAGAAAGGTACTCAATTATGATTTGAAAACTTCAAAAGCTAGAATATCTGTCATTTTCCTTAGCACTTTTTCAAATAAATAATCACCAACAACATTAAGAAGTTGAGTTCAGTTTCTAATTTGAATGTGTCTGGATTCAACTCCCATCTATGGTGGGTCTTGACTAAAGCGCTTTTAAGGCTCTGTATTTTCTCCCCATGAGGAGGCTTCTTTAGTACAATGAAGTTGCTTCTTGATCTATCTTTTTGAAAATAAAATAATTCTTTTTTCAGGTTATATTTCAACAATATTGCTGCACTGGTCTTGTTTATAGTGTGGTCCTGCAAACCTAACAGAGGTCTTAGTGGACTGCAGAGGACTAGTAGAAATAAATGGCTGGGGAAGACTTCTTAAACTGGTTTTGCTGCCAAGGAAAGCCATGGAACAGAGATCCAGGTCACCCACTGTGTGCTGTGTCTCCAGCCTTCCCATAGCATTCGCTGCTCTTCACAACTGATGTAAGCTCACCTATTACAAACATGGATGCCTACAAGGGAACAGTCTCATATAGTTCTTGAGTTCTGACAACTTCCACCCGTTTATTGAGACATGTCAGGTAGCTAGATCTGAACCCAAATAACATGCCTTCTATTAATATAGTGTACTGAACTATTGATATTTAAATCAGAGGCACGTGTCATTAAGTAGGTATAGTATGTATCCAACTTAAAAAAAAAAGTAATCTCTTTCCTGAATGTTTGAGTAATTATCAACTACTGTGTAGTATAATAACACTCTGTGCAACTCTTAAAAAATTGAGTTAGTATGTCCATCTTCTATGTGATGGCAGTATCAGGAAGGACAAACAGTGCTGCATTGGCCAAATGCAGCCAATTACTGGGAATGAAAAGGAAACGGCAATGAAAAGGTATGGATTCTTGCACAGGCCATCTAGAAACAGAAGGAAGAAATGCCCAGGTTTCTCTTCTAAGATTTCGCCTTTCCATTTCCCAGCAGACAACATTTTCCCACACAAGTTAGCACAGTCAACGCTTGCACTAATATGCTGACACTTCTTTAGGAAATTTGCCACGGGTAAAATATTCACAACTTGGCTATCTTTACATGATTAAATTTATTTATAGCTAACACACATTTAATTACTGATTTTAGTATTTGAAAAGAATACCATAAATAATTAAACATTCAGGGAAACATCCTTCCTCTCCCTTCTCCAGGACCAGCTTAATCAAATACTTCTTCTTCCCACTTCCTACTCTCAAGTCTCTTGCTTCCACCTTGTTTTAATTTGATTCCTCCCAACCACTTCAGTGAGGCAATGGGCTGAGCTGCAGATTGGGGTCATCTGTGGAAGGGTTTCTTTTTGCTGCTCCTTGATTATTCTTTGCTTTCCTCCATTGCTCCTTACTTGCCTTCTTCTGTCCCAGTGTAGGTGACCCATGGGTTGCTGTCCCCTGGGGTGTCCCTGCCCCAGTGGGAGCTGCCTGAGAGCTGCAATGCCTCAGGGTGTGCACATCTGGCATGCTTTGACATTTACAACTGGATATTCCTCTGTTGTTTTCTAATTACAATTACCCCAAGAAAGCATAAATGCTACATTCAAAGTAGCATTTATTTATTCATGTGAAAGGGTTGATATATTTACCTGTTCTTGGTTATACATTTTTTGTCAAAATAGATGAATAAATAAATAAATAGCTATTTCCATAGTGCTACCTGGAGCATATCCCAAATAATATCTGAGGATTTGATTCGAGGGTTTTCTTAATATGCTGTATATTTAAAACCAGAAGATTATAGACCACCATTTAGATTTAAAAAAAAAAAAAGTCAAAGATGACAAAACAACATTAAATGCATTCTTTGTGAAGAAAAGAAGGAAATAGCTGTACTCCACTGTCCTTCATTAGATGAGCAATGAATTTAACCTGTGCATTTAAAGACATGCAAAAATCACGTCTTAGTTCTCTACTAAGTAAGTGACGGAATCACATTGAAAGGCAGGAATCTCAGGAGGTCTCCAGATAGACAACCTCCTGGGAGCAGGGTGAGCTGTGAAGCCAGACCAGGTTCCTTGGGGATTTATCTAGCTGGGTCACTAAACCTCCAAGTAATTTTTCTTCTGGATTGTAGAAGGTTTCTAACTATACATAAAGTTATGAAACACATTGAGTGCAGCACAAAAATTCAATTGCGTCAGTTGGACCATATGTAAATATCTGTCTATGCTTTATTGCCAATTTACTATGCAAATACAGAAAATTTGTCACTCTAAAAACATGCTAGACTGAAGGAACCTCTCAACAAGCCTTGCCATTTTGATAAGTAATTAAAGCTCACATTGGGATTCTTTAATGAAATACAGCACCATCAACCAGTAAAGCTCTCTTCTATTACAATTCATGTTTATACCAGAAACCACCATGTGAGATTAAACTGTAATTGATTCTTGAAAGAACACTTGCTCAATATCACTACATTGCCATTGGGTATGTGGCATTGTTTCATGGAAATAAAGCTCAAAAACTGACGACAAGTAAGCTATTGCATGCTCTTGCACTCTATGGTTTATGAGCTACTACATTCCTAGAATAAAAATAAAAACAGTAGGGTAAGAATATACCGTAAAGGGGATTCAGAAATCTTTGCAAGGAGAAATTATGAATTCTGAATAATGAGGTTAAAAAAAAAAAAAAAAAAGAACAAAGCTAGTTTAGGTAGAAAGAGAAAAATGAAAATATATAAAATATACAAAGAGACAGAAAAACATGTATACTTACTTTTGGCAATGCATATTTTGGCAACTTCATCTGTACAAAGCCATTGCGACGGTAAGACACATAATACTTGGTCCGATTTGCTGATGTTGTCTATACAAAGATAAAACAGAACCCTGTGATAGTTTATGTTAAATCTAAAGAGTCTGCAATAGAAGATTTATTTTAACCTGCAACTGAAATATATGGCTATTACTTCTATTACGTTATCAATTTGCAGTGTACTGCATTTATTCTAAAAGAATAAATAAAAAGTTGTGAGAAAATAGACTCCAAAAAGACTCAATTTCTTATTCTCTCCCTCTCTTTAGGAAGAAAAAAAAAAGTTAGTTACTTCCTCCTTTTGCAATTTCAGCTATCAAGGGTGATACCTGAGACTTCAGCATTTCACCGTCCCCAGTCCTTACTGATATCTCAGTACCTATAGGCTTCCCGCACTGCTGCCCTTTCATAGAAATCCAGGCTGCAGCACCCTCCTGGTAAGAGGTCAAGAGGAGACACGCTGGCCATGAACACCAGGTACCTCAAGGGCAAGTGGTACTCCAACAGCGCTATTCAAAGCAGGGCAATAAAGGCTAAAGAAATTCCACTATTCCACTAACATTATATAAAGCATTAGCTATCTTTGACTATTATTCTCTACACAGGATAAAGCATTTCCCAGTGCAAGATGCTGACGTGCTGCATGGAAGATAATGATGCACTTCTGAATCCATTGATTGGTCAGTTTGAAAGTCAGCGATACCTCCTGAAGACACAATTACACCCTTAAATAGAGAGGTTAAACATGCATTTCAAGTGACTGCGTGTGTGGAACTGAAGATAGACTAGGTTTTGTGTTAAATACTTGAGGGCTTATGAAGATTTTCACTGAAGAAAGCCAACAGAAATGTGCACTGAAAGGAACACCACTGTATGACTATTGCCCATTAGTTCCTTTCTCCTCTTCGTAATAGCAGATATACTGGTAATTTTAAGACTTTTAACTTATTCACCAAAAAAATCAATGCAAATATTGTTCCAAAGTACCAAAAGGAACATGCTAAACAACCGTCAATGAAAACACTCAACTAAGAGCTTCCCTAGGTTTTTCTAGTCCGAAATGTAACACCAATATCTGTGCCAGTATACAAATCGTACATTTCCAACTAAGTCTCTTGAGCCCCATCAGATTAGATTAGCAAAGGTTTTAGCTTTTTGTAAACAATATTTCACTTTTTTTTCTTTTTTTCTTTTTTTCACAAAAGATCAGCTTGGTAATGGCTATCCAGTCATTTTCACTAAGTTTATACAGGGTGGCTGCTTTGCAACAATGGACTGGTCAAAAAGAAAATGGAAGAAGTGAAATGAAACATGCAAAATTTTTCTCTGGTTGCCCAAGACAAATCAGATTGTGGAACAGAAGCACAAACTTGTTTTCTTTCTTTGTCTTAGAAAATCCATTTAAAATCCTACCCTAATCTCACTTTTTTTCTCCTCAACTTCTGTATTTAAAAAGGGAACCTTATTTGGAAAACAGCCTATCCTGAACCTGGCTTGGCTTGGCAAAAATAGAGTTGATGCATGACAGCAAGTCCACCTGCCTGAATATTTTCAAATCTCAAAGTATTTAACATTATAATCATTTTTTCTCTTTTTTTTTTAAACCAATTTCCTTTTTTGTGGTAGAAAGAATGTGATGCCCATTAGGAATGTGATTTGTTAAATTACGGATTAAACCAAAAACCTTGCCATTTATTTAATGAGTATTAAATGGCAGTCTTATCCATCTTTTAATAGCTTTCTTGTTCATTATGCATTTATTTTATGTCACTCGTTTTAAATGACTGAAGATGATGCAAGGCAGCAGAGAATCGGAGTGGAAGCAGCTCATTGTGTCAAGCCTCACTGACATGAAAGGATGGTCTGTGCTTAAAAACAGTGCTGAAACTTTAATCCTCCCACTAAAATCACCTCTGAAACTGTCTGACTGTCAGCGCAAACTGGAAAAGAAATGAGTATTAGAAAGTTCCTGATCTTCATGGATATAGATGTACTAAAGAAATGGGGTTGAGATCTTCCTCTAAGATGGTAAAAGACTGAGATTCAGGCCAGGATTAGCAGCAGAGACCTGCAACGCTCTGATTCACAGCTGAGGGGACGTGAGTGATGCCAGGAGCAGTAAGGCAGTTTCTAACTTTCCGTTCCATCTTCTTCCTGGCACATACTACTGTAATATTAAGGGGAATCCCTGGTCTTATTCTGTCTCATATAGAAATGTTCTAATTTACATACCAATATGTTAGTCTATTGACAAAATATTTTCCTCGTGATCTCAAAAGTGTGCCATTTCTCAGACGTTCCAGCTACAGTTAAGTAGCGTCCTGCATCACAACCCAGGGGTGGCTGCAGTTCAGCTGCACCTATAGCATCCCAGAGTTACCTTCCATCCTCCAGTAACGTAGACATGGCTAACTGTAAATCAATGTAGCAATTAAAGAGATGTATATTATATCCTGTGAATTACTGCAGGTAAATCTGAAAGGAAAAGACTGGAGATGTTTCCCCTTCATGTGGAACACATGCACATCTCATCTACTGGCACTGACATATCAAATCTGCAGAGACAACATTACCAATGGCATCATTTTGCTAGTAGCGACTGTCCATTACTTTATGTCTACATTTCCAGGCTGCACTTCCATTTTGTGTCTGCCCATGCCTAGCATAAGACAGAACAACAACAACTTGAGATGCAATTATACGAGGTGGCCGGCAAAACAAAATGCTTGAAGAGGAAGTAGCCTGTGTTTTGCTGAGCAGTCTGGAAGTGCACATGGTGACAAGCACTTCTCACCACCTATACACCATGAAATGGATTTTAGAGTGTGCCTGGGGGGATCCACAGATAACTCCACCTTCGAGCAAAACGGGTGCCATGAGTGCTAGACCTGAGCTGAAAAATACCTACTGTAACTCAAAAATAATTTTCCAAATCCATTTTGCTGTTTCTTTGTGCGGCTAAATGTTCTAAGCCATGTGAGCCTTCCAAAACACTACGGTAAACAAGAGGAGAACAGATCTTTTGTCTCTTTATCAACTAACACATCCTTTTGGAAGACACAGCCACAATGGGGGAAAGATGCACAGAAGGCAATCTGATGTACACTGAGGCAACGATGGGGAGAGCTATCCATCACCCCAGCATTGCTTTCCTGCAAGAGTCAACAAACAAGCCTTCGGAACAAGCAAATCATATCTAAGGGAAAAATTATAGCCAACCACTGAAGAAAGTACAAACAACTTTCCCAGGAAAACCTTAAAAACCAGCTAAGACACAACCTTTCAGAAAGTTTTAGCTCTGACAGATTTAAATCCCACCCAGTCCCGAGCACAGAAAATGCCATGAATTTAAGCGTGCCTGAGCTTGGTGCCATAAGGCTGATGGAGTCCCAGCCCGGGTTTCTGCATGCAGGTCTTATAGTTTGGGAATGAAATAACCCCAGTGCAATTTGGGTGGTCAGAAGTTGCTCCAAGCTTCCCAGCTACGGCCATTTCACCCTTTTGCTTCCTAAGTGCAGCTTTATAAATTCTTGCCCAGAAAAACCTCTTCACAAAAGAATCCATGTGAAGAAGCAGAGCCACTACTCTGTCAGTGGCTTTCATTGCATGCTCTTCTCAGGCAACCTTTTTGTATGATGGAGGTACTGGAAAGGGCCCAGAAGAGGTTCTAGCATAAAAACAAAAGGGTTACATTTTGTTTAATTTACAAGACTATTTATAAAAAGTGATTTTGAACCATATTTGAAAGTTTCTGTCTTGTTAAAGCTAGGTCAGTGCTAAATTAAAATCAACCTAAACAGGCAACTAGTTGCATAAATTAAAGATGCATTGGGTTACTTCTGATAAAGGAATGCTTTGTTCCATGTAAAAATTCATAAATCACCATTCATGCTATGTAACAGATTTCTCCATGCTCCTTAATTACAATGTTGCTGCACTGTTTAAAATTTTATTTTTTAATTTGAAAATGGACAGTCTCTCCAGAAGGCAGAGACCAGCAATACCTGAAGAAATATGTAGTCATCCTGCACAGTCAAAGAATCCCGATCAGTGCCACCAGCAAACTGGACTGTCATTGTCTTATCAGAGCAATTTTGAATCTGGCAAGTGATGTAACGATAACCTGAGGGAAGAGAGACAGGAACATATGACAAGGCTATCAAGGGAAAAAGAAGCAAGCAGTATAAAATGTTATTCATGTAGGGAAAGTGCTGCCTTTGCCAGTCGAGTTAGTTGTAAAATTATTGCATTAAACCCTCATACAAGAGTTTTTCAATCTCCAATGCGCTGAGAATATATTAACTGCTTACAGTTCAGATCTTTCCCGGGAGGCAGCCTGTTATTATCCAAATGTTGCTGGTCCAGAGAGATTAGGGGTTAGACGAATGAGACATTCATGGGTGGGGATAATAGAAGGAGCCTCTTTTCTCACTTAACCTATGCACAGAGTCGAATTATTCACTTGGAGAAACAGCAGCCTGATACAACATAACTGAAATCAATAGATCAACCCTAGTATAAAAATGTGATGAGCAAGAAGAGAATCAGACTCCACTTAATAGATAGCATGCGGAATCTTAAAGGCTATTTTTAAAGCTCTGTAGGAAAGTTAAGATACACTATTAACATACTATTGGAACTGCTCTGTTGGGGCAGGTCTTCTATATTCAGAGTAAATACCTTGCTGGAAATGCCTGGACTGATCTACACCAGGGGAGGCTATGGCCTCTCTCCTGCTTTCCAGTTAGCAATGGGCAAGGAATACCCTCTCTGCCAGGGCTGTGAGAACAGCATCAATGCATCTTTGATGCAATCTGCTCTGAGACAAGAGAGCAGAATCAACAATCATATCTCACCCTAGCTTTGGCCCAAACACCTTTTAGATTCAAACCTTTGTACAGCTCAACCTTCATCACAAGCTTCTGAGCACAAGATACTTGAGTGACTTTCCCAAGTGCAGTGAGAAAAATGTTATATAAACAATCCTGTGTCCACATCACTAATTGTCCCCACGCTCCAGATACAGTATGAAAGAGCAAATAATGCACTTCTATGCATGTGCTTCATTACTTTTACAGTGTGATAGGAAATGCATTCCACATTTAATGACTTTGACTAGAAAAGGCAAATTAGTATGCTAGATACAAGTATTTGTTTTGAAATCTGGATCTGTTTAAGAGACAACTAGAGTCAATCCAAGTTCTCCTACTGTCCAAATCATCACCACAAGGATATTTGAGCAAGCGTAGCAATAGGCCATTGAAAAGCCTTGCAGCTATTCATAATTCACATGACAAGTATTATAGTTCTTCCTCAGATAGGTAGCAAAAAGATACTGTTTCCACTAAAATCAATGGCTATGCTTCTACTGACCATAAGTGCATAAAGTCAGTTTGTTGAGAACCCAGCCAGGAAATATTTCATGAGAGTTTTTCTTTTTCTGCTATTTGTGTTAACTGGAAAAAAAAAGTCAAAACTTTCCATCCAGCTCCTGAAGAATCTTCTTACATTGTCTCTAAACAGAGCAGCTGATGGGGTGTGTAGGGGTCTCCAAGCCTCAGAAATATCACTGCTGGAAGATTTAGAAACTTTGTCATCCAGAATTTAACATGGATTTAACTTAACTAATTTAACTTTGATTTTTAACTGGGCTGAAATGAAAAAAAGCTACTGGATCAGGGAAAGTCAAACTGTGCATTCTTTACAACTCATTTTTAAGACTGCACGGAACTTGGATGATCTGAGTCAAGGAATTAAATTATTTTTCAAGAGTACAATTGGTAACAAGAAACTATACAAGCTTTTGGAATCATGGTGACTCTTTAGTACAGCACATCCTGACTGCTAATCTGCTTTTTCATTTATTTTCCCTTTGAAGTCTCATAGTATGCTATATACTGTAACATGAGGAAATTCTCGGAGATGGTGGTTAGTGCAGCAGGATTGACATATGCAACAATTCTCTTTAACAGACACTTACCCAGCACTAACACTGCATTGCCAGTTTTATTTGCAAATCAGGAAAAAATGTTCAAAGTATAACTGCCAGAATAAATTGCACTATTAATGGACATTTTCAACAGAGCATAGCATCTTGACGTCAATTCATCTTAGAGTGGAAAACAAGTAAATTTTAAATTATGCTTTATTTTTATATAACAGGACAGCTTTGCTGACTACAGAAAAACAGAGAAAGGATCTGACTTGCACAATTTCTCTTCTGACTAGTTTTAAAAACAATCCAGAATGTACTCTCTAAAACAAAGAGAAATGACTATACACTAGGGTATCAATTGATAACATTTTCATTTGCATACCTCCACTGGGGTCCTGGATTTCCATATGAACTAAATCAGGGTCTCCATCAACTCCAGCAACAGCCCTGAGAACATAATATAATCAAGTTATGCAGAGCCAGCTACAGAATAATCATTATGTGGATGGAGAAAAGAGAGGATTTCATACTAAACAGCTTTAACATTCTAGCTGGGAAATTAAAATAAACCCCATTTGTAATGCACTATTACTAACATCAAGATGGAAACTATTTTTCTGTACCTGATATACGTTTTTGTTGAATTTCTTTTGAATGTCTTTTACTAAAATATGCATACAAATAGGAACAATTGGAGAAAAGAACAGAAATAGGTATGAAATTAGAAACAAAACTTCATAATCATAAATGGATAAATATGCACACAAGAGATATGCACACACTCACATGCACTGCCAAGCGCTAGAGCATCTTTTTACAATTACCTTTGACATTTGAGACTACAAGGCAGATTTAGTGCTAAAAAAGACGTAGATACTGTTCTTATTAGAAATATCTTAAACTTGACACAGGCCTTTCATAATGAGTTGACACATTTTTGATTAGTATATTCAGGAGAAGAGTAGATTCTGCTTTGACAAAGGAAGAGAGTGAAGAATAATTTTGAGAAGAATATCCTGAGAAGGAATTTCAGCCAGAATTGATCAGGGTGCAATTTAACTTTGAAAAGGTGCAACGGGAATACCAGCTGATTTCTTTTAATATCTCCCATGTCAAATATGCTCAGCCAAAAGATGAGTTTTCTATCCTCAGGGCTTCCATCCCAACCTGGGAACGGCAGCCCCAGCTGCGCTTTTTTCTGGCCCTTCCATTGTTATTCATCAGGCAGATTCTGCAGAGAAAGCTTTGAGCCGACAGTCGTGCTGTCACTAAGCAAAGCAGAATCCAGCCCTGCTCCCATAGCTACATTGCTCTTCACAAGGCTCTTCACTGGCACCGTAAGAGTTCCATCGAGTCAGCAGATGTGGGCTGAAGGCACGCAAAGGAGATACGCTGAGTGATAAAGTGCAGCTGGATGCAGATATTAAAAAGACCCATTAAAATACTTAAGAGAAAATTATCGTTTTGATACAATTATTAATAATCAAGTGCAATAAAACTATACTCTGGATTGAAATTACATCACTGTTTAATGATTTTAATGGCATTGATTTATGAGGAGCGGTTAAAACTCAGGCTCAGTAATTGGTGGCTCCTTGGGAATGCAGGCCAGGGGGAAGAGACTGGATGATTTCCACTGCTGCATAACAACCAGAAATAATCACATATGGTGTTTTTCCTTAATAAGATAACTGATCATTCTGAGCAGGGAAGGGGCGGGGGAGGGATGAGTCCCCACCAAGCCATGAGATGTGAAGGAAACTTCCAGCGGAATTTTTTTAGTAAATGCGTGAAAAAAATCTTCCATTTATTAAGAAAATGGTCTCTGAAACACAAATTATTCTAGCATTTTGGAGGGAACATATTAAGTCACAGAAGACGTTACATTCATTGAGGTGTGATAAGAACATATCTGAGCAGAGGGAAGGATTTGTGAACATTTTTGCTGTGTGCAGTGCATCTATTTTTCTAGATATTCACCACACACCAAATCAAACCTGCTATCAACTCGGCAGTCAGCTTTTTGAAGGAAGAAAATTGTGTTGGCTGAATATTTTATTTTTTGTGCTGGACTTCGTGCAGCTGAACCACAAACTAAACTAAAAAAAAACTTTAGGGCTGAAATTTTCTGAGGCTCAGCCTGATTGGCATCAATAATGCAAAGACAGTTTTTGGGTACTTTTGAAACAACCTCTTATATCTATAATTTATCACACACAATTTCATAAGCACAGTTTGAGGTATTTGTCAACACATTTACCTTCTTCTACTTCTTTCAACATCTCAGAAATGACAATGATCTTGTCTACTGTGTTCCTTCTAACAGTGGCAGCTGGCACAAGTAATCCCGTTTCCAGTGTAATCTTTTAGTGCAAGAGGTTGTAACTGATCTGTTTAAGTGAACACTGCCTCAAGACAGAAAATGAGTTTCCAACCCAGACTACTTTTCTCCTTTCAACTTCTATTTGAGTAGATGAATAAATCACAAGGAAGGTTTTTAGAACAGTTACTTCCCTTCCAAAGGGAAGGCCTCTCTTCCTAAAGCAGCTGGATCACCTAACAGGGTGCCCATTGACAATAACGGTCATTTAGGATGACCGCTCCACACTGCAGTTTGACAAGCATTTCTCCTCGTTGCTCTACAAGACTAAGGCACCCTATTCTGTGTCTTGCCTCTCCTTCACTGCCTCAGAAATCCCATTGAGCTTGCCAGGTCCCAGTGTTGCAAATTCTCTAATTTAAAGGTGATCCTACAAAGATGGAAGATACAAGGTGATGAACGAAGCTATCATCAAGCTATACCTGTAGGTCTCTAATTTTAGACAAGTCTAACAGGTAAGATCCACCCTTTCAGTACAGAGTTTATCCATTCTGAAAGGCATAAACTAAGTAAACAGAATATTTTAAAAATATGTTTTGTGGTTTTCATTACCGTAATTGTACAGATGAGCTATAACAGCAGAAACTCTGTTTACTCAGTTATACCCTCAAAGTCTGCTTTAGAATGTCACCTTTAGAGCAGTCTCCAAACTCTTAAGTCCCTTTACCCAGCTTTACAAACACTTAGAAATAGGTTTTTCATCTTTTATTGAAAAAAAAAGACCACATATATTATAGCCGCTAAGAAAATCTTCAGATCAGAGTATAACTAATGCAGAGAACTTGAAGCTATTTCCCTGAAGAATAAACTAATCTACTCATTTCAGTGCACTCCTCTGCCAACACTACTTTAAAAAGCAATACTGTTATTTCACTTGTGCTTAAATCATGAAGCAAAGCCGTATGACACTACACAGGCTAAACAGCCTGGGTCCCTCTGCCCATGCGATACAGCTTTCTTAAATGACAGGCAAAAAATATATACACAGGAACACACAGAGTAAATGATCCACTTAAAATGAATGGCCAATTAGATGGTTTTTTCATACTGAAGGAGAAATGTAAGACAATTATTTTTTTTTTCATTTTCATTTACAAACTTACTACCACAACATAAATGCATTGTACCGGTGTGAGGATTGTGTCCACCTATCCATTCACAAGCACAGTGTACCTCAGCTGGCTTTAGGACATGACCTCTTCTGTCTTATAAAGCATAGATACAATGGACTCTGATAATCCAACAGCTTCTTCCTTTTTAGTTGATATTTCAGCATCAATTTTTAACTTTTTTTTTTTCCCCAATCAGAACAAGCACTTTCTCAGAAACGACTTATTTTTCTCAATTTCAGTAGGGTTTTTGGCTTGGCTTGGTTAAAATTCCCCACTTTTCTTCTTAGAGTAGCTTGCAATGAAAATGGTCATATCTCAGCAATCTGGGCCCATTTCTTTGTTTATTTGTTTTACTTGGGTAAAGGAGGGCTTGCCACTGAATTCATGGTTTGGGTTGTTTTAGCGCTTTACATTCAACTGTTAAAATTTCCACTGAAATTCAGAAAAACTTAAATTTTAGATCAGGCAAGTCTTCCTCTAGGAGAAGAAACATCTCTTGACCAAGTATATTGTGCTGGATAAAGCAAGTGCAACATACCAGCACTTCAGATCACATAACACTGTGGTTACAACACTTCAGAATTAAAATAGCCCAACTTGATTGCAGGGTGGTATAAATATAGGCAGGCTCAATATGCTTCTTCCCTTTCCTGTGAACACAAGTTCCCATCATCTCCCTTGTGCTTGTCTGACACCATGTTGAGCCTCTTGGGAAAACTAATCCTGCAGAATGTAATTTTAGAACTTTTTGGAGGGATTAGTTCTCTGCTTCTTAAGTCATCGGATCACGGTTGACCCCCAAACCTGTGGAAGAAAAGCAGCAAGATAACCCCTTTTGGTGGCGCAGAGGTGAAATTGTCACAGTGCCAGCACGGTTTTGTGCACGCCTAACCTCTTTTATGTCATAAAGTTGCATCTAATAAAACACTATGAGAAGCAGAAGGAAATTCAGGGCACCTTTGTTTCCCCTCAGGCCTGAATTTTGTCTCTTAAGGGACACCTTTCTTATACAGTTTTTCAGACTTTAGGGAAATTCTCCTGAAAGATTAGCTGTTGTATGATCTAATTCTTCATGTCTCTGCATTAGTGCTCCACCAGGTAATTCCACTGGCCTTAACAGCGTTACATCAGCATGAAAATTGTGCAATGGAGGGGACTAACAAACCCTCTGCATCTGCCTTGGTCTGTGCATAAATGTATACTCCACGATACGATCATTAGATATTTTATATTTTTAAATAACCGCGGTGCAATTCTAAGAATTTAGAATTTTCTGTTAAGAATTCCAATTATGAGACCTTTGGTATTATTTTAATAATAATTTTTCTTTTATTCAGCTACCTCGCTTCTTCATAAACTGCCCCAGTATCTTATTCTAGTTGCATTCAGTATTAGAAAAACATGAATACTCACCAGAAATTTGATATTTATTTAATATAACATGAACAAAAATTACCACTGACATAATACTATGCATCTCAAAATGTGACTCATAAGCATCAGTCCCTTATTGCATAATTATGATTCATATTTTACTTTAAGCAGGAAACATTTCTTTGTCTCCAGTAGTCCAGGCTCATTTTGCAGGGGAGCAGTTGTCTGCAAATGCTAATCAACTGGAATCCTCTATGGGCATATGTCTTCCCTACCACCAATGGATCTCTTCATTGTTAAATATTTGATGCAGTTCACTTGGGTGCATATTAATGCAGAGACATCTTCAAACAGGACATCTGAAATCAAAACCAAATCAAAACAAACCTGCTCACTGCTGTGCAGGAGCCTCCAATAAAAGGCCACGTGGAAACTTGCCAGTCTCCTCAATCCACCTCTCTCATAACATTTAAATATGAGGTTTATCCAAAAAGTAACAAGTTCTCAGTTTGTACTGCTTGATTTCTAGCAGTAGGCTTAAGAGCAATGCTTTGCTTAGAAAGTAAGTCAAAAGCATGCAA